ATGGTAAAATCGTGATGTTGGAGAAACACACTTTTATTAGTGTAAAGCATTTTCTCTTGGATGAATGACACGTGTATTACTTCTGGCCGTTGGATGGTGAAACATTTACTTCGGCTTGATTACCTCTACGATTTTTGATTTGGGCTAAATTTTTTGGAGACTACTTATTTTATCCATATTTTCGTTTGGCGTAATTTTTTTTGTAATTTTGTCATTTTTGGTAAAATTTGAATTTTTGCTATAAAATCCGGCTTGTGGACTTATCTTAATTATTATGTGATATAATAAAATTCTCTGAACTTTAGAGAAGTTCTCTGTGTTTTTCAGCGTTAATCTTGTGTTTTTCCCTGTGAATTTGCTGGTAGAATTAGTTTGCAGAATAATCACTATTCTGCCTGACGTCAGTATCGTAATAAGTAATGGTGGAATAAGGTATTGGCTTAATATACCGAACTTCTATGGAGGAGGAGGAGGAGGAAGAAGACGAAGCTCTGGGAAAATCATCCTTAAATCTAGAACTCCCGGTGTCAGAATCAAGAGATATATTTTGGGAATCACTTTGGGAAGACATTGTAATGAATAGCTCACAAAGCACGATACAAGCTGAACAAGTACCTAAGTAAGGGCTGTTGAAGGAAATCAAAAGAAGACATGAGATAGAATGACCAGAAAGTAAGTCTAGCAAGAAAGAATAATGAAGATACCCTAAAAAAGAACGACCTATTTATAAGTTTTGAACGGTAAAGCGTAAACTGTTGGATCATGCCAGAAACAATTAAATCCATTTAAATTATCTTGGACAATAGTAACCATTGGATACTAAGAGGCACCTGATCAAGACTATGAATGAACAGACGAGATCACACAGTGTATACGCACGTTGAGAATACATGTGCCACCAACCTAGAAATATGCAAGCAGGCCCATTAACATTAGGGGTGAGCAACGGGTCGAGCCGATTTTTACCCAAACCCGACTCGAACTTATCGATTTTGGTCTATTTTCTAACCCGAACCAGCCCGATCGTTCGCATGAACCGACCCGGCCCAACTCGAGCAAGTTCAGGTTGGTTCGGGCCGGGTCAGCAATATTTTTTTTCCCGATTCAGTTTAAACTGCCTAATGAATCCTTATTTGCCTGAAATAAAATCAGAAAAAGTTAAATATTTTTTTCTTCGTGTTGTTGATGGTTTGTCATTTTCATAGATCATGATATCGTAAAAAATTTAATCGAAACAAGATATTTTAATGAAATTAAGTTATGAGTCATGTGGTTTTGGAATTATGTGATTATTCAAAAAGGTGCATGACCTTTTCAGATGATGCAATCTACACTATTAGAAAAGAAATGGTGCAATTTAATGGTTGAAATTAATTTTGCCCAAAGATGCTACCATTCGAAGAGACACGGGAAAATCTTTAAATAGGACTCTCCTAATTCTATTTTTTCCTACACCAAATCAATTCAAATTATTATTAATTTCTAATTCTGTCATTTCTTCAAAATTTCCATTCCTTTAATTTTATTGAAAAAAATTATGTTCGAATTATTTTCAAAAATAAAATTTCATGCAAATTTCTAATTCATGTATATTCCATTCAAGAAGAATATTGTCGATACTTTGGTTTGACAGGCAAAATTAATAGTGTGTTATATTAATTTTGGAAGAAGTGTTGTATCTTGAGAGACGGATGTCCATGTGATCTTGTTGGCACCAGTGCAGGAGGCAAAATCAGTCTTAAGGAGATTCGCATTCGTATACCTCGCTTCATTTCATTTTCTTTGTATTTTTACATTTTCTATGTTTGTGTAAGTCGTGATTTAGTCATTACAATACACGTACTATGGTTTCAGTAAGTGGTTACTCTATTCATATTTGCATGCACGCATATTTATTAGCAGAATTTAACTTATGCACTAATTTATCCAACGATTTTAAGACGGATTTTACTTTGTTGTCGTGCATATGTAAATTATTATAATCAATTGATTATGTTTAAACAATCTAATTCTAATATGCATGCATGACAGATCATAAACATAATCGATATTGGTTGCTTGCAATTGTTTTTTTGTGCACATAGATTGGATTGACTTTACTTCTTAATCCCGCCTTCAATTTTGCAACCATTTTATATCACTGCATTTTTGAGAAAAGTCTTCTTTATATTGTTGAATGAATTCTTCTGCATATTGACTTTCGTTTCCAACATCCAAATTTATGAACATTAACGAAGTGGTGTGTCCTCGTGATAATGTCTTTTTTCCCTACTTTAATTAACTGCCCCGACAGTTTTTTCTTGTCGATTCATTCTCTTAAGTGTTAGATATTGGGCCAACTTCCCATTCATTATGTGTATATCATAAGAATTTTCAGTCTCGTTTGACTGGAAAGATTATTCCATTAGGGTGCGTTTGATTATAAGAGTGGAAAATAGGTGAAAAGAAAATGATTTCCAGGGAAA